CTAAATTAGGGACGGCTAGCGCAGATAGCCCTCGTGTAGCTTTGTGCGAAATCCACAACAAACAAACAATTAAACTAACAGCGCTGTCTCCTTTCGGTTTTGTCCCCCCCCCCCCCCAGTGGCACGACACCCGTGTTGGCACTGTACAAATACTTCATTGTGTAGCTTCGTGCTTAACTACAATAATAAAATAAAATATTTCGGTGTTTTACAGACACAATACACGGGATAACATCTTACACAGACCCAGTGGACGCAGAAGTGACGTCAACTACGACGTGTCTGGATTTGGAGAGTTTATTGGAAGATACATATGAATACAGCAGTGAGGTCAGCGCCACGACTAGTAACACAGAGAATGACATTGGAACGATACGAAAACAGCTCGAGAGCCTGGAGACAATGTATTCTGAGGTATCTATATATTTAAAAGAGTAATATGTATGTGTACGTATGTGGGGAGATTTTTAAACTTCATTGAACTATGCAAAAATGAAATTAGGAGTGGGGAAATACGAACGACATCACCATGTGCCTAATGGATGGGTGGGTGTAGATAGTACTATGCATTGCAAAGGGGAAGGTACTTGGGGAGTGGATTTGTCATCCCTCAAAGCCCCATCTCACATAACATTGTATGTGTTTTGTGTACGAATCTGTTCATTTTTTCTATAGACATTTAGGGTACTAGTATCGTCAGACTGTTGAGTAGAAATCTGGGAGCAATATAATTGAGTTTTGATATTTGCCCCAAATAACCAGGTTTTGAAAGCGTCATTAAATGTGATGTCTCTTACTAGATAAGTCGATCGGTTTATCATTTTTTATCAGAACATTCGACTCAATGTGTCTTTGTACTAGAGGTGTTTGGTGGATATCACGCGTTGTGGAATATGTTTAACCTCGCAGTTATTGTGACGCCCCGCACGGCCATCAGATTCGAGGTAGGTCACTTAACTGTAGGGCAGCAGGCGTGATCCTGATTGGTTTTACATTTTATAAACTTTGTACATTCAACCACAAAATACCACAACCAAAGAAAAACAACGAAGTACGAGTTTTTTCCCCAAGTAATATAATTATAACATCATGCGTTAAATCATACGAATGTGAATCCTTTTACAGCCTTGCCCCACAGTGGCACAGCGGAATGTCTGCTGACTTACAACGCTAGTAACCGGGTTTCGATACCCGTGGTGGGCAGAGCACAGATAGCCCATTGTGTGTAGCTTCGGGCTTAATTCCACACAAACAAACCTTTTACAGTAATAATATTATTCAACAATAAAAAGAGGCGCTTGTCAATACATATTTTGTCTTTCTCTGATTTGGTATAAGTGACATTTACCCTTCACACGTAAGTGGGTCTGAACATCAGTTTAACGAACAAAACTTCTGTAACATTCAAAATTTAACCAAAATGCTCCTCTAGCTTCCATGTCGAGATCTAATGATCATAAAGTCAAGGTTCGAGCCCCGATATGCTATTGAACAAGCATCAAACCTTCGGCTGTGAGGGCGTTATAAATGTGGCAATTAATACAGCTATTCACTATATGCAGCTGTATAAGAGGCGGCGAGTGTTGCTGATGGGTTACTCTCCTTCTGTGAGCAGTTCTAAATTAGAGGCGGTTGACTTGAACCCTACGGACCTTCGACCAGGACATTAAACACATTTGTTGAAAACACCAATACTAACTTCCATACCAAGATTACTTATCTTGGACAGTGTAGAATTTTACGAATTTTCTTTATTTATCTAACAAAGATACGTCGTAATTGTAAAATAATAAGATTTTTCGTTTTTTGCATATAATAGCTTTTCTATCAAAACTGTTCGTGCCTTGTCTGATCAGTTCAGTCCCATTTTTTATTCTACTTTTAAAACTACAACTACGAAGAAAATATAAAGTTCACACATTTCATTGTATAATCTAAAAAACCTATTCGAAATCGAGTTTAGTTGTAAAAATAAACATGAAGCCCAATCTCTCATTCCATTCACCACTAATAACTGAGTTATACCAGTTTCGGGGATTTCAATTCCTCATCAATAACCCTGATTAGGGGAAGATTGAAAACAACAACAACAAAACGATTAGGCCTTATATATGGTATTTTTAGTTGTGTTTTACTCACTACCACAACAACAAAAACGACTAGGCTTTATATATATATATATAGTGGTGAACTGTATATTATACGTATGGTATTTTTAGTTGTGTTTTACTCACCACCACAACAACAAAAAGACTAGGCCTTATATATATAGTGGTGAACTGTATATTATACGTATGGTATTTTTAGTTGGGTTTTACTCACCACCACAACAACAAAAACGACTAGGCTTTATATATATATAGTGGTGAACTGTATATTATACGTATGGCATTTTTAGTTGTGTTTTACTCACCACCACAACAACAAAAACGACTAGGCTTTATATATATATAGCGGTGAACTGTATATTATACGTATGGTATTTTTAGTTGTTTTACTCACCACAGGAAAGCATCCATGCTCCTAATTTATTCTTCTAAATCATTTGACAGACAAACTGTTTAAGATACAAAAAATATATGTGAAGCCAGGGTTACTCGATGAGGGTTAGAATTCCCAAAAACCAGTATAACTGAGTGCAAATGGTGAATTGAATGATAAATTAGGCTTCATGTTTCTGTTAATTATCTTTAAACAATTAATCTTCTCTGATGAATAATTAAGAAAAATATAATAGTAGCACTAATGCTTTAAAATTTTTAAATACTGTATTAATATAGGTTCAATGTGGTTAGTAAATTACAACTAAAAACACTAAATATGTTTATATTTATTACATGAGTTGAGTTATCAAGGCGTTTAGTAAATATTCTTTTGTCTGATATAAAATAAATAATATGCATAAACTCTGACATATTTATTTTATTTCCCGTGTCTCGCTTTGAACTATAACTTGATATAGATATATTCAAATTTACGTTGTGTTTTCAGTTATTTTACACCGGCAATTAGATATTTTTACTCTTTCCTTGTATTTCAACAGGTTCTAAAACTATTAGGCTTAAAAAGTAACAAGCGAGGCGTAAAGCCACGAGAGGGAGTTACTGACGGTTTAAGAACCACCAGACGACATATAGATGGCAGTCTACTGTCACTCACCAGACGGAGTTCTGTCGGACGAGGATCAAACAGTTTTAAAGACAGAAGAAGCCAGGATCACAGACGAAGAACAAAAGAATCAAATCATAGGTGGATAACAAACTGTAATGCAATCTGTCTCTCTGTCTGTCCAAATACCATTACTTTCCTATTGGCTATTCTTCATAATCAGATAGTTACTACTTTGTTTGCCAACAAAATTGCTCATGATTTATCTCAACCCAAAATATAATTTTCTACCAAAAAATAACATATTATATTACTTCATAGTAAACAACAGCATCATATTAGGAGTTTTCTCGCGCATGTTGAATCCTCATTCAAGTATAACAATACATTATTTCAACTTTAGATCAGTTGGCGCTTCTAACATACACACATGTATATATATAAATTTCTTTCTTCTCATAAACAAAATGTTTTATGAACTTCTAACTCATGTTTGGTTATTTTTAGTGTGCAGAACAAGCGGTTTCTGCGACTGGAATCCCACGTTGTGACGTTAGCTCGAAGCGTGGCACATCTCTCGTCTGAGATGCGCACGCAGCAAGTTATAGCGCGAGAATTAGAAGCATTACGTCACGACGTCAACTGGCTACGGGAACAATTTCGCTCACTGGAAGATTCTGCTGGGGACATTTCGAGCCATTGTCGTGGAGCACGTGCGTATAGAAGGCAGTATAGTCAAAGCAGCCGAGAATGGGAAAAGTTTCGTCAAGACTTTTTAGAACTACCTAATCTCGACAAAGTACAAAAACTAACAAAGTAAGAATGACAAATGAAGATCTGTATTTTATTTCGAGAACCGATTTTATCTTAAAATGAACCATATTTGCGTTACACGCAACTGACGTGTTTAATTTACCTATTAACTTTTTGATATACAAGTTTAAGTGTTTTATGAGATGCGAACTCGTTGGTTTTTTACAAATGGAGTTAAAATACATCGTAAAAAAGCATACATCATTTTTAATACATTTGTAGATTTATACACTACACCAAATGATATAAGATCAAGTGGTTAATAACGCCAGGAAATTTTATTTTAATTCATTTTCAAAAAAAAAAAAAATGTACAACACTGGTTTTGTACTTTTTTTTTCACGTGTTCAGTTGTACGAATAAACAGTTGTTTAGGCGCACTGTTCACGTGCTACCCACGTTGTAAAGTAAGTACTCGCGTTAAGTTTTCAAATGTGAGTATGCGCTGTTTCAGTGGTGGCTTCAACTTTGGACCTGGTTTTCGTTTAATTACGCAGTAACTGCTGAGAGGGAAAGATCGAAATTTACTATCAGAGCTTTTCTGATTTTTGAACGTGGATAAACATGGTCGAAATTTACTATCAAAGCTTTCTAGATTTTGTAAAGTGGATAAACATTGTCGAAATTTATTATCAGAGCTTTTCAGATTTTGGAACGTGGATAAACACGGTCGAAATTTACTAGAGCTTTTCAGATTTTGGAACGTGGATAAACACGGTCGAAATTTACTAGAGCTTTTCAGATTTTGGAAAGTGGATAAACATTGTCGAAATTTATTATCAGAGCTTTTCAGTTTTTGTAAAGTGGATAAACATTGTCGAAATTTATTATCAGAGCTTTTCAGTTTTTGTAAAGTGGATAAACACGGTCGAAATTTACTAGAGCTTTTTAGATTTTGGAACGTGGATAAACACGGTCGAAATTTACTAGAGCTTTTCAGATTTTGGAACGTGGATAAACACGGTCGAAATTTACTAGAGCTTTTCAGATTTTGGAACGTGGATAAACACGGTCGAAATTTACT